GTTTATCATTGCTGTAATACTAGTCAGCAAAAAAATCACAAATTAAATTTTGCTGTAAGATATGCTATAAAAGTACATAACAGCATTTTTAATTTGTAATCTTGTTCTATAATCATCTTATAAAGTACAGGGAAGCAGAGCAACTTGGTGTTTCACATAAGTCAAAAATGGCAGTTTTTCATAGCTGTTTTATTATGGGATAAGCTGTTCTAGTAGTTTTTAGATGTGCTTTTTTTAAGTTTAGTGACTTTTTTTTTCTTTCAATGGTTAAAAAAGTACTTCAACAGTTCTGTTGTATTAATACTCAGTAACTGTTGGAGGAATTACTACAAGATTTGTCCTGTTAGGTAAGAATGAAATGCAGCAGCTTGGCTGTCTAGCCTATTGAACTTGGAGAAGTTTCTTTCTGGAGTAATGGGGAAAGTGGACTGCAGTGTGGAAAATCCTGTTCTACCAACCTCGGAAGGTGTTCTTGGTACTTTGATTTCATCACCTTTTTCAGTGGGGCACAGGGGCAGCAAGGAGGGGCTGTTGGGGCTTTGTGGGGTAGTATGGGTTTCTTCAGTTACTCACCCACTAAAGGTGGCACTGGGGGAATTTTTTTCTTTTCCAGTGAAAAGAGAAGTTTGTGTTTCTGAAAGGTGATTAATGGATTGAAAAGAAAAGCATCGTCTTTAGTAAGGATGCTTTGGCACAGAAGAGCTAGTATAATATACTAGAGAGAGTGTTTCTAGACTGACAAATTTTACTTTGTGATATTGAGTAAAATCACATGTAACACTTCTGGCAGTATCATTTATACTGGTAGAAGGCTTTTCTGGCAAAGCCGTCCTGGTACTTGATAACTTTGGTTCATACTTAGGACTTCAACTGATTTTAAGCTCTGTATCTAGCCGATCTAGCTGTGTATAGCTTGTTAAGCTTAAAGGCCTATTTTTTTTAGCTAATTTGCCTGATAGAAAATGTGATGATTTAAAAAGTCTGAAAAATAAATACATTGAGAAAGAGAAATTGGTGTTGCAGTAGTGAAGAAGTATAACACCAATGTCTGATTAGTTTTGAAATCTGTTTTGCTTTTAAAATTATGTATTTCTTTGTGAAATATTCACTGCTTGATTTGAAAAACTAAAAAGATTATAAAAATTTCTGTTTCTGTTTGCATTTCACTTCCCTAAAAATTTAGTTTGGTGTGCTAGGGACTTTTCTTTCCTTAAGCAGTGTGGGGTTTTTATGTATGTGTGGGTGTTTTTTTGTTGTTGTTGTTGTTGTTGTTGCTTTATTTGTTTAGCTTGTTAATCTTTTAATAGAGCTTTAAGATGATTTATGGTGTACAGCACTGAAATTTGCTCAATTTTGCTGCTGAATTTTGACGGAGAAGGCTTCTGTGAGGGTCTTGGGCATGATGGAAATACTGCAGGGAATGTTTGCCCCAGGTATATCTTCCTGAAGGCTTAAATATGAAACTGTGGACAATGTGTATTCTTGCAAACCTTCCTCTGACCATTTCCACTTTGGAAGTGGAACCTAAGCCATTATTGAATCAAAGACTCTGATTTCTGTGCAGTTCATCCTTTCTGCTATAAACTGTCCACTTTAAATTGAGGTTATCATTTCTATGTGCTTAAATGGCAAGTAGGGAAAAGGCAAGATACGTAACAAGGTTTTTTGGTGTTTGAAAAGCTGCATAGTGTTTCCATATGAACCTTTGAACGCTAATTTAAATACTGGTATTAGATCCACTTTTTTGTGACTAACTGGCAAAACAGTAATAGTTGGTGTATTGCTTAGGCGATTAATGATTTAAGTAGCTTCAGTTACCTTTTGGTAATAGGGAATTGGAAAACTTGGATTTTTAAGAGGGGGGACAGGAAAAGAAAGGTAATGAAAACCAGTGTGCTTCAGGTATTTGCATCTCAAACTATGTAGATGAAATAATGACTAAAACAAGTGGTAAAAGCAAATTTAAAATGTTGCATTTATTTCAATATCCTCTTTGTTACAGGTTGTCTATGAGCAAGAAGGAGTTTTCATTCATTCCTCCTGTGGAAAAAATGATGACCAGGATAACTTAATAGCAGGAGTACTACGTGTCATAGAAAAAGTATGTATTCAATGCAGTTATAGAATCTTCTTAATTGACCACTACCTAATATATATGGCAAATCTTAAGAGTTCTTTTGAATATATTTTTTTAAAATGAAGATCAGTATATTTAATGTTTTTCTATGTAATTTGTATATTTATGTAAGTTATAACCTAATCATTTCATAAATAAGGAGCTATATGTGATTTGTTAATTATGTAGTATTGAATGTTTTTATGATTTTTTGTGTATTAGGAAAATGAAGTAATAGTTGACTGGAGACCATCAGATGACACTTTGGATAATTCTAATATCCTTTGTGCTGGAAAGGTATGTTGGTTAGTTTATTTCATCAGAGATTTTTCTCTTATGTACATTAGTTAACTTTTGAGTATATGGTTTCATACCTGGTAGCAAAGTCTGTTTATGCGACTGTCACTGGTGTTAGTACTTACACTTAGGAATCATTTCTGTGAACTGCAGGTTAGATTCCTGTTTGAATTATATGTGTGGGTGATCTGTGATTCATGCATAAAAAAGGAGCAGAGCATCCCTATAGCCAGAAAAGGCCAAATGAGTGTAAGAAAACCATAGTCACTGGTATCTGGTGTTTTCATGCTTTGTAATTAGGCTCAAAACAGAGATACTGTTCTAATGCAGAATAAGAAAGAAGATGTATACGGATATTCTAGGATGCCATGAAAGGTAGTGTTTAAGCAGTATTACAATCTAACTAAAACAAAGATTCATTTTTTCATTTAAACAAAGTTTGTTAGTATAGATTGGTTAGGTCTGCTAGAGATGCTAGGATACATCTTAACACAATACTAAATTTATCACAGTAAAACCTCTGTTCAATCTGCTCTTAATGAGAACTTGGGTTTTGCTGTGTTTATCTTATGATGTTTCTAAAAAATTTTAATACTGCAGGGTGGGTTTTTTGCCTGTGAAAATAAAGATGCTTATTTTTATGCTTGTATAATCAGAGAAGTTAGCTAATTTTTAGCATATTCTATCTTTTGATACTTTTTTTTTTATTGCTCAGGATTCAAGTTCTGTTGTGGAGTGGACTCAGACTCCTAAAGAAAAATCCCCTCGAGGAGCAGATCGTCCAAGCAGTTATGAAGCTGAATGGGACATGGTCACCACTGTCTCCTTTAAAAAGAAACCTCATTCAAATGGAGGTATGTCCAAAATAAGTGCAGTTGTTTTCTTTGTAGTAACTTTTAACTGAAGAATTGTCTCTTAAATATATTAATCAATCTGAAATCAATATAATTTTATTAGGAATTGAAAAGTTGAGGTCGTTTGTGGTGGTGAACCTGTGAGTGTGGAAATATTCACAGAGGACCAGTTGTCTCTTGTTCTAAACTGTTTCTTCTTTAAATTACAGGGGATGTAGAAGGCATCTTGCATTTAATATCTTGCTCTCTGTATAATTAGATGGTGCAGCACTTTGATCTGCATTGGCTTCTTACATTCTTTCAAACAAAATCTGGTCTTCTTGTTAGAAAAGAGAGTGAAAAATGAGTAGTTTACTGCTCAAATGCTTTTTCTTACTGTAACAGCAGGGGGAGGTGGAGTCTAAAACTGTGGTTGCATAGGTGTCTCTTAGACGTAAGAAAAATAAAGTTTCTACACAAAACCCTTTTGGCAAACTACTTGATTTCATAGCTACATAATTCTTATGGAGTTTGAGTAGCTATGTGTGTTTAAAAGAAAATCAAAAAACACTGATTTTTTTTTTTAAGACTCACCTTTGTCCTCTGATTTTTCACATGTTTCTTTATAATCTTTGTACTAAAGGCTAGTGCCTGTCATACATAGAATGCTTTATTTTATCATTGTTTCCTACTGTGTTTTTAACATCTTTAGAGTACACTTTCATACAAAGTCAGTGAGCAATGCAGACTTCCATTTTGTTCTTTCCAACTTCTTATTTCATTCTAATTTTGGGGGGGGGTAGATGGGAGAGGGATGACAGATCTCCTGCAGTCATGCTGACAGTCTTACGTCCTTAGGCATCTGTTCTCTTTGAATGGCCATAGTCCTTGCACAGTATTAGAAAAGAACAGGAAGGTTTCCAAGTTCTTCTTCCTTCATCTTAGTAGTAGCCTTACATGGCATGGCTAATACTGTGTGCAATATATAATATGCATGATTGTAATATTATGTTTAATTTGAGTGAGTAGTGCTACCTGGCACAGAAGTTGGTGGGCTTTAACTTGCTGCTGGAATTTAATATATTTGTGTGTTTACTGCTGGACCATTTTTATAGACTTTTATAGACCTGTAGGCCTGTTTTTATAGACTGTAGGGACTGAGTTGGGTGGATTTGCTTATTATTTTAAGGGTCTGTAGAAGGTGGGAAGGCACAACAAAAGATCAAGCTAGTTAAGTATAACTTCTATTACTAGAACTAGTCTGTGTGTGTATGTTGGTTTTGTTTGTTTTCTGTTTTCTTTCTTTTTTCTTGAGGCAGATATTATGTGCCTGTAGTTGCTAACACTGGAAGTCAAACTAACATCATATGCTGATCTTGTTTTTAAGATGCTACAACTCATGCAAATGGAGAAAGCAAGTGGTCATTCCTCTTCAGTTTGACAGATCTGAAATCAATCAAGCAAAACAAAGAAGGAATGGGATGGTCCTATTTGGTGTTCTGTCTAAAGGATGATGTGAGGCTTCCAGCTCTTCACTTTCATCATGGAGATAGCAAACTATTGATTAAATGCCTTGAAAAGCATGTTGTGCTGAGTGAGTAAGTATCAGACAACTTGGTTCTAATTTAAAATATGGTTTTATTATTTTGCATTTTAAATTCCATAATACATTTTTCAGAGAAACACTGCCTGATAAATTTTTCCTTCCCTTTTTAATAATGGAATCAGTTTTCAGGTGACTGAAACTATAATTTCATATGCCCCCTCTGTTGACTGAAGTTTTAAAATTGTTGGATCAATTTGTGATCTGTTTGAGAGTCTACAAAGTGCTACAAGCTTCACAATAGTGCAGTATCTTGCTAGTGGGTATGAAAGAAGACAGAATAAAGTTATAATCTTGAATACTCAGATGATTTGATTAAAGTTGAATCCTTGTCTATGAGCTACTTCTATTAAATAGAATTAATAACTTATGTTAAAGATTGACATCATATTTGAGTGAAATACCTGTGTATTGACATCAGCGTGTAAGGTTATTATAGCATTGTTGAAATGAATATATATATATAAAAAATATATATAAAATATTTCCCCCTTCCTTTTATTCTTATCTTTTTTTTTCTTTTCTTTTTTTTTTTTAGTGTGGGGCTCTGTTTTGTTCTTGATTTTGGTTCTTCAAATCAGCTTTCAGAATGGCTATATACTTAGTCTCTATTATGGTGTTAAATACTTAGGATTGCTGTGATTCATATTGTGTGCTCTCCAAGTTTTTCATATGGGTAAAAGCCGCTTTGAACAAAGTTTAGACACAGAACAAACTAGAATGTTCTGCTCTCGGTGTATAGACATAATTTAAAAAGACACTTTATAAAAGCCTTACTGAAACTGTCTGAAAAAAAGGATAAATAAGGATAAGTAGAGCATGAAGAAGCAATGAGATGTTTCATCAGTGTAGAAGGTCTGCTGTTATCAAAGGTGTTTGAGTGCATCACTTGGAAAATAACTTGCGAAAGGTTGGAAGGCAGATAGTGAAATGCCTTTATAAACCCTCTGAGGACTCTTCCTGTGTGTTGGGAACATTTTGAGGGAGGGAAGCATCTGGGCCAGAACTGCTTTGTTACAGGTAGGTGAAACTGGTCAAAAAATTTTTACATATACGAGGGACTGTCAGTAGGCTACAGGGGCTGTTTGTTAGTTGAACTGCTGTGTGAAGGCCTTGATAGGCAAGGCTGTTTGGGATGGTCTGAAACTGTGAGCAACTTGGAGCAGGTGACATGGCCAGTGTGACAAACCACTGAAATGATATTGACTAGAGTTCGTGGAAGGTTTTAAGAGAACTTTCATGAAGGCAAAGCAGGCAATATTAGAGACCAAAGATAAAGGTGTTAAGTATAAATGGACATAAGTAAATCCAAGTGAGAGCTTCATCTTAAATCCTGAGATGTTTTTATCTAGTTTCACTTTCAATTCTTCCTTAAACCTCTCCTCATTTCTTTTGTTTTAATTTCATTTCCTCTTCAGGGAAACATTCTTCACTCTCAGCCCATAAGGAGATTGTTTCGTTTTGACACCTGCAAGTCAGTCAACAAGCAGTATATCTTCCAACCTGTTGCTATTAAGCAAGGGCAAATTTTTGGGGTGACACACATGGCAAACACAGGAAAAGCACTCTAGTTGTATGGTGAGCTGCAGAAAGCTTTATGCGTTATTTGTGATCTGTTAGCTCTGCCTCACAACAGTATATCAGCTTTTTTAGAAATTAATTGCAGTAATAGCTACTTAATGAACAGGACTAAATTATAAGGTAGTGTAGTGAGTGCTGGTGACATTTCCATTAACCCAGAATGTTTTTGTAACCATAAACTAGATGCTTCAATGCCCAATGGGAGGTTTTTATCAAAATAGTTCAAGAATTTCCCTTGCATCTTTTCTTTCCTATCCATTTAATCTATCTGAGGCTGTAACAAATTCAAATGCTAAGTTCTGAGTTCACACTGTGGTTATGTTTTTTTTTTTTTTTTTCCCTATTTCTTCCATTGACAGTGTTTAAAGTGTGTTATTATTTGAATAGGTAAAAAGGAGTAGTAAGCAACAGGTTTGATAATTAAAACTCAATACTGCAATTACAGGTCTATAGTTGTACTTGCTTTAGTTGTAGTGGAATTTCATGTATTAATTATTAATTGAGAATTTCTCTTAATCTCAAAGGCATAAAATATCTGTAAGACACTGCTATGCTAAGTAACAGATTATTTCATCTTTCCATATTCAGAAAGTATTTTAGATATTTTGCCTTTGCAGATGAAAGTTTTCAGAAACAGGAATCTAAAATCCACCAGAATACCCTAAACCATTTCATGAGGCCAGACTTTTTTTTTTTTTTGACAGCAGTTTGGTCATCAGTTTGTTACTGTACCTAATGTTAGTTTGTTTATTACCACACATTATTTCCAGGCCTGGAGTCGTGTGTTGCAAGTCAACATGCTTTACCTTGCTACATAATGTTTAGTGGCAAGTCCCTAGGTTAGTAATGACTTCAATTCCCTTTTCAAACATACTCTCGGATGCTTCATGGTGAGTGTTTGGTTACTTACCAGGCTTCCTTTAAATGGCTTAATGGCTCCCTAGCTCTTCACAGCCTTTTGGCAGCTAGTGTGAGCTCTCTTCCTGGGGCAGTGCAAAACATTTCCAGTTGTATGGAGGAAGCAACTGCGTGAAGAGGGGTGATCATCAAGTCCTGCCTCTCTCTTGGTAAGAGAGGGCAGTGGCTGAGTGGTGTCTCATCTGATACAGCAGGCTCACAGTGGGATGCTCAAGAATCTCGCTGAGTGCCGCTTCTTGGTAAGATGAACAAGAGAAATTTGAGGTCGTGCTTAAGCATTTAGGGTGTGTTGAGCTGCCTGGTACTGCTGCCTGAAATGATCCCAAGTGTCGCAGAATGGATCATCAGGTGCCTTGAGAACTTCAAAGAAAGAAACTGAGGAAGCTACAGAGGTCAGATTTGAATCAAATTAAACATTGGTTGAGCAGGGACTTCCAGTTTCAGTTTACTTAGATTCCTATCTTCCAGTTAGTGTCTATTTTGAGATCAGAGTATTTTCTGCAAGTTCGTCATGAGTTATGATGCTTGCTTAAGGGAAGAAAAAAAATGTACCACATAACTTGTGGGACTGGTATGCTTCAGTCTCTGTACATTTTTAGCGTTTCCGAATAATTTTGTGTATGTAAAATTAAAATGCCATTTAAGAGGAAGGTGTTTACTCAAGTTTTCTGGATGCTATAAGCAAATAGTTGTTAATGTAGTCACTAGTAATTCCAGCTTCTGATTTGTATATATTGTAGTATTGATGAGAAGGTAGAGTCTAGCTGTTTTCTAAAATATCTTTTACTCCTTAAAAGTACTATTTTTCTTTTCTCCCTTCTCTAGCATTGTTCCTTTATAAAATGTTGAGTTATTGCTGAAATTGGTATGTGCAAAGTGACTAAAATGGAACAAAATATCTGTGACTTGTTGCTTTGAAGGCTATGTACTTCCTAGTTTGGCTGCACAGGTTGAGTATCCAGAACAAGATTACGCTGACAGCACTCTCTAAGTTGGAGTATTACACGTAATTATTTAAGCCAATGTCTAAACTTGCAGTTTGTTTTGAGCATTGCCAGGTAGCTGTTGCTAAGCAAGTAGCAGGCCAGAGGGACCATCTACTTAAAATGGCAATGTCTTAGGAACTTTTCCTTCTCATAGTTAGAGAAGATGCGATTCATGACTCAGCCTTGGCCCCTGGGCTGCTTTTGAGCAGCAGCCAGTTGAGTTGATTAACTGTTGCTGCCTCAGAACTGTGACTACAGCGTCTGGCTGTCTCGAAATGAGATCTTTGGTCGGATTTCATATCCGTCATGTTAAGTGCGCTGTCATGCCGGAGTTGAAGGAAGATAAGGCTTATTAAAGTTCTTATCTTCAACTTCAATATCATGGTAGGTGATGCAGGTAGTATTAACAAAAAAAGTATTTGTTTCATTCAAAGTCATGGACATGGATTTAAACATTAGGAGAGAGAGCAATAGAGAAGGTATTTTATAAAAGTAAGGCCTTTGCAGTGGATTAAAATCAGATGGCTGAAGTTTTTGGCTTTCCTTAGTCTGGCAACCTCCCTTCAAGGCTTGGGTGTCAGATTGGCTGCAGGCCTCAGCTCCCTCTGGTCTTTTACGTATGCATGAAATGCGGCGATTCAGGAGCAGAATACAGAGTCGATCAGGTATTCCTGCCCGAGGAGGGGAGCAGAGATTGGGGAACAGTGAGAGCCAAATAGAATAAATACTTGGAGCAGCACAGTTTCAGCTGTCTTTTTTTTTCCTTTACTTTTTAAATCCTTTTTATCTGTCTGTGCATGCCTGAGAGAATCAAATCTTGTATTGAAGTATAAGAATGTGTGAACACATTGAGTTAGGCCAAATCAAGCTGATCTAGTTTTTGGAGTCTGCAAAAAGATATCTCCACAGCTATAATGAGGTGGTTCTGTGTTGCAGTGTGCCTAGGGTGTTTATAAACTATCAGTGTGAATTCTGGAATTGTTTGGGCTGACAGCAGCAGTTGTAATACTCTTGTTTGAAATTTGTTTTTTTCAAATACAGTCAATGAAATATAGTTTGCATTATTTTATATAATGTTTTACAGGGTTCCTTAAGGTAAGATTTGCTAACTGATAAAGAATTTGTTGATTGTATGTGGTGGCTGGAAGTCTTTTCGCTTATTATGTTAAAGATATCTTGCTATCGATGTGTAGAGGTTGACTATGTCTCACTAAATTTCCTTTCCTTTTTTTCCCCATGCTCAGATATAGGAAGTACTATTTGATCTTATAGATAACTTTAAAAACTTTATTACTATGCTGAGAAGTTACATGTGGGTGGCAAAGAATGAAAGAATATGATGATGACTGACAAGTGCAAGTCCTGCTTGTAATGTGGTAACATTTGACTTGTGCCAAGAGAGCTAAGAATCTTCTTGCATCAAACCTGTTTTACTTGAAGAAAAAAGATTTGTTTTTTTTAAATGTAAATATTCTAAAGCATTTCCAGGAAATACTGGTACGTTTTTATAGAAACTCTACACTTTTATTTTATTGCAGATCACCCCAGGATAAAAGAATTCTTCTTGTGAATTCTCAGAACAAGTCTTTGTCTCAGTCTTTCGAAAATCTTCTTGATGAACCATCATATGGCTTACTGCAAGTATGTATTGTCTTTGAAATATTTTATTCCAAAGTCATTAAAAAAAATCAGCATACTATTATCCAGTCTTTCAAATCAATTAATAGTAATTACCCTAATACTTCTCTCATTTACCTTTTTTTATCATAATGTAACGGATGAACTACATGATCATACCGATGTGTGAACCTTTGATAATGTTGGAGACTTCCTTTGAATGTTAATGCTCTTGATGTTTTTTTTGTTGTTTTGTTTACTTTGAATACAAGAATTCCAAATAATTTAAGACTTTTCACATATTACTTGTTTTCCTCATTATAATACAGAAATTGAAGAAAGATCCATACACAGCAACAATGGGAAGGTTCTCCAAAGTTACAAACTATATTTTTGACAGTTTTCGATTAACTGATCCTTCAACTCAAAGACGACCGCCATCAGAAATGGCAGATTTTCTCAATGATGCTATTCCAGGGCTAAAGATAAATCAGCAGGAAGAACCAGGATTTGAAGTCATTACACGAGTGAGTGCGTGCATGGAGTGTGTATATGAGGTAGATGCATAGTTTTTTTTTATGCACACTTGGAAAGTAATTGTGGAGCTCAAAGCCTGGTGAGTTAAACCATTCTGCTTAGTGATAGTTGTATGAACTATGCAGCTTCGACTCTGTCAACTTGCTACCTAGTGCTTAATCCGTTAGTTAATCAAGGAGGAAAAATATAATAAATGGTACATATTAAAACTTAGTGACTTATATGTCTTAATCCGCTAAATGCGTTTGGCTCCTAAACAGCTGCAAAGCAATTGGCTTTGTGATATCAAAATATTTTTAGAAAATAAGTAATTACCATCTACCAAAGTCAACTGTGCTCAAGCATAGAGGTTGGCCGCTTCATTCCCAGCTTATGAACTATGAACCTGGCAGTTGCTAGGAATTCTGAAAGGGCATGTGATGTGTTTTGGGTTTGGTTTGCTTGCTTTAAGGGGGCAGTGTGCTTAAATTGATTTTTCCAGCTACTCTCTCCAGGGTGTGTAGGAATAACATCTCTGGACTTGGGTTGCTTTTCGTCTCTCATGATTCACTAATGCGTGACAGGAGCAGCTTTTGGAACTGCAGCTTCTTGTAGTCCCTGCTTGCTGTGTTGCACATATCTAATAAGCTCCAGTTGCCCGGGAGTGTTCAGTCCATGGGACTATCCTAAAGCTAGTTCCAAAGTGCTTATGGGGGTGAAAGGTTATTTTAAAATATATGCATAAATAAGGGGGGAAAGAGGGAGCCTAAAATTTGAAATCCTGTAGATACCAACTGCTCCAACTCTCTCTACAAACCTTTTTCTTTTGGTCCACACTACTCTCTAATGTAGACACAGTCTCAGAGTCTTAAAGTTCAGAACTAAATTATGTTCATGTGAAAATACAGTTGGACCAAATATGAAGAAGCAGCAACCAGCTTAGTACTATTTGCATGTTTGTTAAAAATAGCGAGGTATTTCAGTGGGATCCGTATAACCTGTTGGTCTTTCAGATTGATCTAGGAAAGCAACCTGAAGTTACTAGAAGAGAGCCTGTGACAGCTGAAGAATGGGCTAAGAACATGGATTCTGAAGGAAGAATTTTAAATGTTGACTACATAAAGCAATTGATATTCAAAGGGGTAACCTGTTTTTCTGAATTCAGCAAGTCCTGTGGCTTGCCCCAGGGTCTCTTTTTGTTTTTTACCAAACTCTGGTTTTGCTGTTTTCATTAAACTTGTTATTCTTCATGCACGACTTTGGGAGTGAAGCTGTCAGTACTTCTGGAGAGACTTTACAAAGTGTGATTTAATGCTAATTGAATACCTCAGCCATCTTAAAACCACACAGTGTTATACAAAGAGGGAAATCTTGTGGTTGAAGGGAATGGGTTGAAAAGATAAAGGCTAAATGGATGAGGGGGGAATCAAAGTGTCCTTCTGTAAAACGTCAGTGCTTTAATGCTAAGATACTCTGTTGTTGTGTTAGGCTGCTTTTTTCTTTTCCAAAGCAAACTTTCCTTGTTTGCCCAATAGTTTGCCATCGTTTGGCTTGTTTCAGGGTAGACTATAATCACTTTGACTTTTTTCTTTTAATTATTAGCTGAAATTTTTGTAACATAAAGGTAAATTCATTCTCAGTGCAAAAACATTTTGAAAAATGTAATTATACATAATTATCCTGTCTAATGTTCTTTCGCTATTTATGAACTGTTATCTGGGAAACAACTCTGTGTTGTTTTTAATTTATGGGAGCAGCTAATATTTGGCTAAATCATAAAATGGTGAAGCTTATTTCACTTCTCCTCCAACTTTAAAATTATTTTTAAAGTGTTGTATTACTGTGGGAATTTCCTCACAAAATGAAAGTATTTTGTTCACGTTTCCTATCCTTTTTTTCCCCTAGGGTCTCTGCCATGCTTTAAGAAAAGAAGCATGGAAGTTTCTCTTGGGGTATTTTCCTTGGAATAGCACTAAGGAAGAGAGAGCAAATCTGCAAAAAAGAAAAACGTGAGTACAGATTTGTCCCTCCATGTTACAAAATGTATTGAAAAAGCTTCCTGTTTTGAAGGCACAGATTATTGTAGGAACCCTTTCTGAGAGTTGAAAAACAACTGTTTAATATTGTTGAATGTAATGAAATGTTGGTCAGACATTTTTATTTAGGTTGCTATATTAAGGTAAAAATTAATGTTTTTACTTTTTTTTTTTTTACTTACACTAAAAAACGTTACTGGACTTTTATTTTGTGCCAACTAATAAACAGAACAAATAACTGTTTAAATAAAAAACAATAAGAAATCTAACTATTGAACATATTTTGGTTTCAATTTTTTTTATTATTTTTTTTTTTAGGGATGAATATTTCAGGATGAAACTGCAGTGGAAGTCTGTCAGTGAGGAACAGGAAAAACGAAATTCAAGATTAAGAGACTACCGGAGTCTTATAGGTAACTTCAGATGAAGAACCACACCCAACTGTGCAAATTTGCACGCCCTTACAAATCAGTGTGAGGCTGAAAAATAACCTTTTGAGGCTTCTGTATAAAGAAGAACAAAAAAGGCTACTTGCTGTTATTATTTATCTATTTATTTATTTCAGAGGTGTCAAAATTTCATTACACTTAACACTAATTTTTTTTTAACTAGAGCAATTTAAATCTTAGTGTTACATATTTGCTGAAACTTTTTCTAAATAGCAAAAGTTTTTTGCTCATGTCACTTCATGATATAGTTTTACTTGGAAATTTCATTAAAATAATGCTGATATAATAAGACTATGATATTTTGTTTATATTTTAAGTTTCCTCGTAAGCATTTGTATATGTATGTTCTGTGTGTGTATACATATATATATATATTTTTTTTTCTGGAGGTGGCTAAGATTTTTGTAATATTCTGGAACTTTGGCTACACTTGTAGCCTGTTAAAACAGGATACTAGGAATTGAGAAAGATCTTAGGCTAGTAAACTATTTTTAAAGCACATGTTTAAATATACATATGCATATTTAAATATACATATCTCAAAGTCCAAAAATTACTTTCATTTCTGTTGAAACAGTGCTGTTCATTAAATGTTTGGAATGCATACAGCAGGTTTATGTTGCAAGACATAGGAAACTACAAAATTCTTTCTTTAAATGTACTCAATTTTGCTTATTTTTAATATATTAATCTTTAATTTCAAATTATCAAAGAATCTGCTCTCTATATAGGTATGCCTGACATGAAACGGGTAGTTTAAGCTCAATAAAGGCTACTGGGCTTTGGGAGACAAGAACTACAGTGAGCTGCAATGGTGCCACTTTCCCCTTGTGGCTTCTGCTGCATCTCTTTAATATAAGCATGTAATATTTATTTGTTTGTAATCCTCTTACATATAAAACACTTTCATTGAGTCATCACAATTTTTCTCATAGAAGTACTTAATATTAAAAAGAAAACAAAAGAAAGGTTTTAAATCTGTTTAAGTGAGTGTTTTTATTCCAGGCAGGCAGGATCTCCTATTTTTAAAATATTCTTTATTTCAGGATGATAGTTGTGATAAGTTGTCATATTAAGCACTTCAAAGCTTTGCAAGTCTGTGGCGGGGAGGGAAACAGGAGCTTAAATATTCCGATGTTCTTAGACACTGGCTTAGAACTTGCTTTGATTTTTTTTTTTTTTAAATTATTATTTTTTTTTAAATCTGGGCTCTTTTTTTTTTTTCTTAGAAAAGGATGTAAACAGAACAGATCGAACAAATAAGTTTTATGAAGGTGAAGATAATCCAGGATTGATTTTGCTTCATGATATTTTGATGACCTATTGCATGTACGACTTTGACTTAGGTAAGTTGCATTCCTCTGAATTTAAAAGCCTTTTAATTTCTCGTTTAGTTTTGCATATAAAGATCTGTTAATCCCTTGAACTTCTGTTATTGAAAATGCTTTCTGTGAATGTCAGGTTTTATGTTTTAATAACATAGCTAACTTTCTTCAGTATCTTACCCTTCTTACTCTCTAGCACCTCATACTAGCCCCAGGCAGGTGTGTACAGCAGCGGAGGATGGATTGGGAGTTAAGTGCCACTTGCCTGCCCTGTAGCCCTGCTGCTGCTTTCTGCGAGGGGAAGCAGCTTTTCAAAACTGGACTGGGCTTGGGTATTCGGAGCTTGACTTTTATTAGTGTGGCAGTCTTGAAAATGGCTGTAAGAATCACCAACCAGCTGCCACTGCTGCAGTTAATACTCAGCATGTTGAACCAGCTGTTTAAAAGCACGTTCGTTTTGCAAAGCTGGTCTTTGAGAAGTACACTTAAGTCTGTCAAAAATTATGCTTTAGGTTATGCATCCATTGGGGGAAGAACAGTACATAACGTCTTCTGTTAAGCACAGTGTAGCTGAGATGTCTTAGTTCTTGATTTTGATTAATTGCATTAGAAAGAAGGGAAGGAATATGTATTTTTAATGGGTTTCCTCCTTTTTCACCCCAGCATGAGATTTGGCTGTTCTGTATCTGTTTTTATCATATTCTACTCCAGGAAAAAAAAATACCAAACTGTAGAAGTCCATCTCTTGCCAAATTTTGAAGGCAAGAGGAAGATTTCATTAACTGTTGGTGAATTTGCTGCAGAGACTTGTCAGCTTTTATCTTTTTAGTTGAGTTTAAAAAGAGACTCAATGTTAAATTCAAGTGGATAGAAGAAAAAAAAAAAATAAACCTGAACCTGTTCAAGAAACATGGCTGTTTCACATGTCTTTTCACATTTTGCCCCATATTAACATGCAGTGACTTATGTCTTGGAATTAGAGATGCTTTCGACCTGCTCTATAAAAAAAAGGATTTGAAATGGCTTAAATGTATGCAGTGCTTAAATCTTCTATTTTATAAACAAGCAAGAAGCCTGGAAATAGGCTGTATTTGACATACTTGTATCTAGTCAAGGATTCTAAACTACCCAAAAGCATGGAAATAATGCTTGTTTCTTTGATCCTTCAACAACGGTTGTAGAGAGGTCTGAATAATGCCACAAAGTGCCAGCTGGGGCAGCTGTGGATAAATATTTTTTTACTTGAGTGAAATTACAGAATCACAGAACGGTTCTGTGATTAATTACCACTTTTTTTTTCTTTTTTGTGGCCTTTTTTGCTTGCTTTTGCTCTCTATTTTCACATTCATTGACTCAGTCATCTTTCCAGTGACTCAGTTTAATTATATCACTAGGAAATGAAATCTGCGAAGTCTGACTGCGGAATATAATGTCTTAGTAACCAACCACTAATGGCAGACCTACACATCACTTATGTGCTCAGTTATTTAGGAAGGTCTGTAGCAGTAGAGAGGTTGACTTGAGGTTAGAAATAAGATAGCTAGAAGTTTCTAAAAATCCTTGTTCTCTGCTGCTCTTAATTATAATGTAAATTGCAAATGAGCTGGGAGAAACACTTAAAAAGAGTGAAATTTGAAAAACATCTTGCATACAACCAAAGATTTCTGGCTCTTTGTAAAAATGACGTGCCCTGGAAAGGAGTGTTATATTCTCCATTTTCTCAAGCTTTTCTCACGGGATGCATGACCTTGATCCACGATTTCTAGCCACAAACCTCAAGGCTCTCACGCGAGGTTTGCATGCTTTTCCTTCATGCTTCTCAGATGTACACTCTTCTATTTGCACCTTTCCCACTTTCATAGGGAGTAATTTTTTTTTCTCGTTTGCTTGATTACTTAGCTCTTGTGGTCTTAGGCATTGCTGAATTTATACAATTCCAGTTGGGTTTTCTTCACATTTCTGCCATATTACACAAGTAACCAGCTTGGGGAAAGATTAGGACACACAGGATCAGCTCCTCAATATAAAATAGTTTGAGTGAAAGTGACTCACTGTTCCAAAAAGAAACAGAGCTTCACAAGCAGAATTGTCCCCTTCTCTTACCTAAATAGCAGTAATCCTTAAAGCACGGTCAGTGCTGGGGGAAAAAAAAAATGTAAGTTGAAAACTTTCTTCACTCCATAAAAGCTTTTGCACTGCATGTTTTCCTGGATTTGAAACTTGACATTTCTCCTTCAAACCAAATGGAAAAAAAATCTTTAATTGAGACAAAAAAAAATGTGGACACTGTAAGAGATTTTAAGTATGTATAAGAAAGCAATCGAGAGATAGAAAAGAGGGAATAAAAATGAGTCTTTTTCATGATGATGTAAAGGTATATATTAAACCTTTAAACTATCAATATTTGCTTTTTAGCTAGAATTCAGTGATTAAAACTGGAAACAATTTTGTTACTAAAAATGCATCCCTTTGTCTACTCAGTTTGTAATATTTTAACAGCTATAAAAACATGTTTAATCTTTTCTTTAAATCTGCAGAAACTACTGCTTAATCTTGTTAGATCATCTGGATCTTGGTTATTAATGCAGTTATTGCTAGTGTAATACTAATGTCTTTTTGTTGGTTGTGGAGTTGAAAAATTTTAGTATCTATACCAATTTCTGGACTGCAAACAAACTCACAAAACAAATATTTTGCTCATTCACTTTGCGTCATGAAACAAATATTTCTTGTAGTCATTCAATACAGTTGAACTATTTAGCTCTTGAATTTGACTGAATACCTCTTTGCTTTTGTTCCCTTCCTCAAGGTTATGTGCAGGGAATGAGTGATTTGCTTTCTCCTGTCTTGTATGTTATGGAGAATGAAGTGGATGCCTTTTGGTGCTTTGTATCATACATGGATCAAATGGTAAAGTATAAGGCTTGTTTAGCGTGCATAAACAGATAAGATGTGGATAACACATGGTATTTATTTTGTTGTATGAACCACCTTAAAAAAAAAAAACTATTCTAAGGAAAAGCGTATTTATTTTGTTGTATGAACCACCTTTAAAAATACTATTGTAAGGAAAAGATCATCTTGTGTTTGATGTGTATGCTGGCTCTGACACAAGTAATGTGGGTTTGTGATGTTTTAATATACAAAGCAGACAATTCTGATTACTTGGCAATTCCCAAATTAGCCAGGCAGCGTGACCAAACACGTTAGGTTGGAGTCCTCCAGTTCAGGTGATGGTTTTCTGTCAGAGCTACCTTTTGGCACATGTTAAATTCAACTTAGTCTTTTCCACAATTGAAGCTTTTCTAGATGTGTGGTGAAATAACATGTGACTGGTGTTAGAATTAAAAAAGTCGTCTTTCTGGTTTGAGTGCAGTGATGCTGTTTGAAGATAGGGAGAGTAGGCTGATATATGAAGTATAGTTTATTAAATATGAAAATATATAAAGGAGTTATTAATGTAAGTCATTGCTTTACTTAAAACTTTCAGCCAAAGGCAGAGACTTCATTACATACAGGTCCTTTAACTGCTTCATGTGTTAAATGTTAAGAGAATTAAAAACCATGACTGCCATAATAAATTTTCAAATAACCATAATCTTAATACCTGACAGTGCTAATATTTTATTCCACCCAGCATCAGAATTTTGAAGAGCAGATGCAGGGTATGAAGACTCAACTAATTCAGCTGAGTACTTTGCTTCGCTTACTAGACAGTGGATTTTGCAGTTATTTAGGTAGGTGTGTTTTCACACACAATAAATTAAACAACGTAGTATATTCTGTGTGAATTGATACCCTGACCAGTTCTTTAAATATATTTCTATTAGTAATGTGATATGAATACAGAACTAATTCATTTCAGTGATTTGACTTTGCCTGCATTATTTTTGTAAATTAAAGATACTTAAAAGATTTCAATAGCTGTTTCATACTTATTAAAAAGGGGCATCTTATTGATTTTAAATACCTTCTCGTCTACCAAACATCAGTAATTTTGAGAAGGGCCTGCTGCATTTAAAAAAAAAAATCAGTGATATGATTATGTACCTGGAAAATGTGTGCATTTTTTTTCCTACTGTCTTAAGCAAATTTAGTGTTTTTTATATACGTGTTTTTATATATATAATTTATTCCTAGAATCTCAAGACTCAGGCTACTTATACTTCTGCTTTCGATGGCTTCTTATCAGATTTAAAAGGGAATTTAGCTTTCAAGATATTCTTCGACTCTGGGAGGTAAGATATTTCATCTCACAAACTCTAGCAGTCCTCCTTTAGAATAAAATGATTAATAATCTTAATATTTTTTAACAAAATCAAAAAGAAAAACCAAATTGGGATCAGTGCAGTGAGGACTCGCTGGTATATCTTGTTTCCTCGTAGCCTGAAGAGCAACTTGGGATGTTAATGAGTAAAATCTTTTAAAGATCTGGTGGGTGTAAGTAGTTTTTTTTTTCCAAAAATCTTTGGCGAGGATCCTTCATTGATGTCTGAACAGGTAAATGCCAAGCAGATCTCTGTTTTGGCTAGGCACATTTCCATCACCTATGGTCAGGTCTAGGTTTAGTTCCTCAAGGCAGCCTGTGTGCCGCAATTCCGTAGTGGTTGCTGAGTGCAGCTAGCTGGATGCCCAGCAGCAGAGCTGGAGCACACAGGGGATGTGGAGGCGGTGGTTGGTTCTCATGCAGGTTTGATGCTGAACCACATCTATGTACAGGTGTCAATATTCCTTGCTTACGAAGTAGGAACAAAATACGGTATCCAAGTAAACTGTATCTGGTAGTATACATTTTTACATTACTGTTGTTTATCAACCTATTCATATTTTATTCCTTTGCCATAATAGAATATGGAATACCAGAAAAAGATACTTAATTTAGGACTGAGTTGGATATCTTAATCTTCAAGATTGACCTCAGTCCCCTCATTTCTGTGACAGGAATTTCTATCACCTTCCTTTTGCTGTCAAACCTATTGCCCTTAGTAGGGCACTATTAGTGGACATCCTGGGGAGGGGACACTGAAGTCCTAATTAGTTAAGCATTTAGTGACTCAAACGTAAACTTATTACTAATTTGCTTTTAAAAAAAAAACACACACACGCACAAAAACCCCACAAATAACCACAAAGAAAGCAAAAACAGCAACAACCACAAAAAAATAAATAATTTTAGTTATACTTAGCTTCAATAGCTTGTTCTTATTTGTATCACTAGGGTTTAATGAAGTTTTTTAAGACTTTATTTCGACATCTGCACTCATTTGTCAGAGGAAAAGCAAGCATTTCAAAAGAGGTTTTTATATTTTAACAGGTGATGTGGACGGAATTGCCTTGCCAGAATTTTCATCTTCTCCTCTGCTGTGCTATCTTAGAATCTGAAAAACAGCAAATTATGGAAAAACATTATGGCTTTAATGAAATACTAAAGGTACTAAATTGTTATGCATTTGTAGATATTAACTCTTGAGTTAGCATGAAATATAAACATTGTGGGAATTGTATTGTGGGAGAAGAAAAGGTATGTAGTGTCTGCCGAAGGGTTAAACTTGAGGGGAATGTTATGTTATGTGCTTTCAAAATCATTTATTTTTGCCTTGCCTTTGGTAATGTTATTACCTCTGAAAATGTGAGGTGGGGTAGATCTATGTGCTAGGTATTTTGTCACATTTGGAAGTACTTTGGATTCCTATTACGGGTCTTGGATACTGGCGAAAACCTGGTTTTGGCTGTTAGATCTTTCAGTACCTATTTGTCAGTGAAAGTGTAGTTAGCCCTTCATACTTTAAAGGGGCAAGATCATCGTGCAATGTTAGCAGTGCAGTAAAATAGTAGTATAATAGCATGAAATAATGTTTCATACAATCACACTTAATATTTTTGTACACATTTCTAGCATGTCAACGAACTGTCTATGAAGATCGACGTGGAATTCATCCTTTGCAAGGCAGAAGCCATTTCTATGCAGATGATGAACTGCAAGGTACTGTGTCTACTGTTAGCTTCTGGGGACAGTGTGTTGTGGCTGCAGCTGTACATGTAGGACATACTAATAACTAAATGCTTGGGCTTGATACGAGTGTGTGGTCTACCTTCGCTCAAAATGTCTATTAGTGAGAGTGTTTAATTTTGTAAGGGCAACACCGTTTGCTGGCAGAAAAGCTGAATTGTGCTCTTTGGTAATGAGTTCTTAATTTTTGCTAAGTATGGTAGAGTACAAGTAAGTTTATATTTGCACTCAGGAAGGATGAGGTGAAAGGTGCATTGCACTGAAGGTAGGTCAAACACTGGCAACAATTAGTTGTTCATTCAAAATTTTCCATTTAAACTTTAATTAGTTGGACTTTTATTTTGAGGATAAAGATTATATTGTTGATCAGGATTTGGTTATTGAGCCTCTCACCTTTACTGTGATTTTTGAAAAGCAGATGCAGCAAATGTCAACTTTAGTGTACTGAAAGAATCTCTCTCAATACCACTTCTATATGAATTTCATTAAAGTTGAAACAGATGGTCAGTGTTTTGGTGGGAAAAGAGCCATGTGGTGTTTTTTTTTTTTCTTCATTTATTTGGAGTGATGTTTTTTCCCCTCCTCCGTAGGAATTGCCTCAAGCAGTTAGTGAGATCCTGGGTATAGAAAGCAGATCTGTCACACCAGATTCGGATACGGGCGACGACGACAGTGCGGCTGTGTTGAGTTGCCCGACGTCGTTATACCAGAGCATCCCGACGCCTGTAGCTGCGGCCAATGGGAGCAGAGACAGCGCCCAGCAGGCACCTGAGGCACAGAGCTTGACACCTGCCTAACTGCAGGTGGGGAAACTGAAGAAAGACTTTTGCTGAGCACATTATATTTTTCTCCCAAGCACTTGAGAGGTGGATATTTAAATTTGGTGTTGATTAAGCTTTAAGGTTGGAAAGAAAATCTGTACTGTAATGCTCTTGCATTAAAGCTTTACAACATGACTCGACTTAATTATTTTTGTAGTTTCTTCTACCAAAATAGCCTTTTGTTTTCAATAACATTCCTTAATATTTTTGTAGCCAAGTGCATTTTCTTTTTGCTGGTGAACTGGAAATGGGTGGTGATGAAGAATGAATTTGGGAACGATGCATCTGCTGAGCTTCACATGTATTCAGCTAGGATAGTGTGAGCTCTCTGATTTGAGCAGATTCAAAATAAGCCAGCTGAAGCTGCTGTACAAAATTTCCACGCTGAAGAGATGCTGATGTGTTAGAGAAAGATCATTTTGTAAATGAATGGGGTTTCCCTTTCTCAAATGTTTACAAAAATACTTCTGAGTATTTGTTGCTGGTTGAATGTAGATTTGAAATGGACATTTTTACTTATGGAGTTTAATGTCCAAATACTGAACTTTGTGTAACTGGGAGTGGATGAACAGTATATTTTTACATTAACATATCTTCACTTTATATATGCATATATATATTTACACACATACATACACATAATATAGATAAATGTTTGTGAATACTAAAGGGATAGTCATATTTTCAATAGCTGAGTAGGCTTGACCATTCATATGAATCAGTTTGACCAAATTAATGCACAACTCTAACTTGGGCTCTTTTTCAAAACTATTTTCTAAATGAAGATAACTTTCATGTGAATACATTCAGTCCTATACTTGATGTAATTTTGCAATGGATTTCTTGCAAACTTTACTAATGTTTATCTTTGCTAATAGATTAACTGATCAATAAAGTACTTTCACTGTTTTTATGCCAGATTACTTGGAAAATCCATAAGCAGGTTAAAACAAAAGTTATCACAATAATATTAATGCATTCTTTTGTATATGCAAAAGGCAGTGTGAGTTTATTCCATGCCATGCTGATGTCCTTTGAGGTTATGTGAAATTTAACATAACTGATTCAGTGTATTCCTTATTTGGTAACTATTGTACATATATAAAATAAAAATCAAAGCTGATTTAGTGTTTTTAATTAAATCATATTTAGAGAAAAAATCTAGTTGTCTGATTGTTAATATAATAACATGAGATAGAGGGATTAGATAAGAACATTTAGCCCATTCATATTATATATTTTGAATATTTAATGAAAAGCAGTGGTAAAATCTGTTTATTTTTGAGTAGAACATTTTGTCCATCATCACTAGGTGGTTCATATTGTTTATGGAGGAATTTTTCTTTTAGAGCAGTTTAGCAGCACAAATGCGGTTTGTGTCATCTGAAGCAAATACAAAAAGGCTTTAGGAGATAAATCAAGTTGTTACAATAATTTGAGACTCGATTTAAACTTCTCCCACCAATTATGAACAAACACGGTGGAGAGCTGAATCAGTACAGGTTTTGTTTTTAATATCTTCAGTACCTTATCTTTCTATCGCTTAATAAGAAAGGAGCTGACTCGGAGGATGTGAGGGCTTCACAGCCCAGCGTCTCCAGCCTTTCATTTCCTGGTCAGGAAATTACGGGGAAGTTTCATGCCTTTGTTCCTGCCTCAGCATTGTGCATCTTGGCAGTTCGTTTCACGTAGCAAGGAATATGTAAAGGCACTAGAATTTATATAATTGCATTTTGGCTCCAGTAAGCTGAACAAGTGCCTTTCAGTACTTTTGGAGCAAGTGCCTTGGTTCACTTGGACTTTGAAGTGTACTTCTAAAATGGTTTTGTCAAAGATTAAAATGAAACTAGGGAGAAAGGAAAATGTCTAAAAATGGGAAATATAATTGGCAATCCTACCATGATTAACTGTTCCTGCTTCTTACAGATGCAGGATCTGATGTCTGTCATTCCCCAGAGTTGTACACAAGTGTCTTGTAACTTTTATCAAGGTACTAACTGGCTGTGCACGAATACTCAGTTTTAGCAAAATCTTATCTATTTTCTCTGATTTGCAGGTAGGAGTATAAATGCTAGCAGTCTTTCTGAAAAAGGACTTTGCCAGTCATGTTTGGGACATGACTATTTGTATAAACAACTCGGATGTCATGGGCGAGGAGGATCCTTGCCCCGTGCAGGATCTGTAGCTTCCTTCCCTCCCTGCTGCTGGGCAGCCTCGTGGCACATTGCGAGCACAAGGAACCTCTCCCTCCTCTGCTCTTCAGTAAGGTCAGATTTAGTCTAAGCTGAGGCTACAAGCACTGCAAAAGTCCTTGATCAGGATCACGATAGCTGAAAAAGGCCATGGGTTGGGGGTCCTGGAGATATTTTTCATACTTGGAAAAAGATAGGTTGTTTAGAATTAAAACAAAACAAAAACAACTTTGTATTTTTGGTTAGAGTTGTTAAAGTTACACAAGAGGCAACAGCTTGTTTAACCCCTTCACAGCTATCTTGTTCTATAATGCTTGATTCGATAATTATTTTGGAGTGGGGTTATGCGAAACTCTCTTCAATTGTAGCAACATTGTAATAACTATTCAAGGGTATAATTTATATCTATTTACTCCTCTCCTTAATAGATTTTTACCATTTTGCATGGTTAGGCAATTTTATTTGCTTTGAAAATGCTTTCTTAAAGGTTCTTGCTTTTGTTTGGTGGGAAGAGGATGGCTAATAAAGAATCTCCCTGTAAGTGACTGGCATTCAGAATTTGGGCCATGAACCAGTCGTTTTGGAACAGCTAGTGCTGGCACACCTTTTAGTGTGTGATGCAGATGAAGCCATACTGAGTTCAGGCCTGAATTTTGTAGGCAGTGATCCCCATTTTCTCAAACTGATTTTTTTTTACACTGCAGAAAGGAGAATGGTGATGGAATGGGCAATTTTGAAAAATTGCATCTGTGAAGTCACTGATAAATGTGGCTGTAAAAAATCATTTTGTTTTAGAAATGTACTAGCTGCTCTGTCTCTTTTTAGTTAGTATTCTTGTAGAGATGCAACTTGGAAGATGCTAAGATTTGGTTCATGGGCTGTAGAAAAGTGGCTGCTAACAGGTGGCTTATCTGTGGCTAAGTACCCTACTTAAAAGTATTTTTCCACTCTAGTGACTGTTTTTTGAACACTTTTTAGACAGTGGCTGGTACCACCTTTGCATAAAAGAATCGTGGCAGGAAAAAAGTCAGTACTTAGTACTTGTATGTGCTCGTATGGAGAGTACGTATGCTGAGAGGGAAGTAGGAAGCCCTGACTTGTGCCTGCAGTTGCATCGCTCTGTCTAGCTGGATGAGTGCTGATAAAATGCCAAGAGACATGGATGTGTAGCCGAGCACTTAATACACAGACTTCATAGGTATGTGCAATCATACATGACCTAGAGACACCTACAAATGCTCTTTGATGGGGTGAGAAAGGAATTGTGCTTCATGTTTACTGAGACTTAATAATATCAAGTAAACCTTACTGCAGTGCAGGCCTCAATAGTAAATTCAGCGCAAATTTAGTTTTTTGTTTAAGTGTGGGATCTCACCCTTTCGGTTGCGTTTTGTTTTGTTTTTAAATATGTGCTATGTTTTCCTATCTAATCATGAGGTCTTTGGCAGAGATTGAACTTTCTGATGAGATGCAAACCAAAACAAACTATGGCACATCCCTTCTTTCCTCCTTACAAATGAATTTCATAATTGAATCAAATACATGCTTCAAACTGTTCAGGAAATTCAAATTAAATAAAATCTTCTAGACGGTTATGTTTTGGAGAAACTGGATTATAAATTACATTTTGATTTTGATACGGGTTACATGCAGTCTGCTTAACAGACTAGTTAGACTGCTTATACAAATGTACCTTATTATTAACTGCTACCCCCAGAGCCCAGCTGTGGAGGGTTTAAATGTCGCTCAGGCCAGCAGCTCAGCAAGCGGCTGGGCACTTCTCTGCTGTGTGTGAGAACAGCCCCTCTTGATGTCTGATCTCACGCTACAAGTAAGTTAACCTTTCCTTTTGAAGATGATTTTGAAGATGATATTTTAAATGTCTACATAAGGAAAATATTTAGGCCTGATGCAAAAATGGTTATATGACATGCAGGTAATTTCCACTGGCTGTTCACTTGCAGGGAGTTGATGGGTTGGCTGTTGTAACTTGCTGAGGTGAAACACCAGAGACCTTGTGAAGACGGTGGTGGTGTGTGAACTGCTGTGGGTGTCACGGGTGCTGCTAGCTCTGGGCACTGGTGCTCGAGGGATCACACCTGCTGTTCTAGTGTTACTGTTAGGTAGCAGAGAGGAGACCTAGAGAGTCTTTCAAGGAGAGATATTTGGGTTCAAGGACATAATTCCTCAAGCAGGAAAACAATACGGCTACTCCTGGTGCTGCTACTCTGCCTGGGGGTGTAGCTACTGGATGCAGGCTTGTGATGAACTACATAAAGGAACTGATACCTTTTCGAGTGAACCATTTTTTTAGCCATTGTACCTCGTGAGCATACCTTACACCTTTTAGCCGTGAGTTACACCTCTTGTCTTTTCACTGTGCCCTTCCACTAAGACTTAGTACAGAAGAGGTGACACTGCATAAGTAAGGCTGGAGGGATGGAAGGGACAGTGCTTTGAACGATCACGTTTAACTAGGTAAACCTGCAACCTCTGACTTCTGTGATACAAGGCTTGACTTTGCCTTCTCTTGGAATTGGTTGAATTTTGTAACCCTCAGATCATTTCTGAGGTAGATGCAGTCTGAATATTCAGATTTCTATACTGTCATTTAGGTAATTACTGAATGGTACCTATGGATCTCCAGTTTGGTATGCCCTTCTGTTAATGCTGAACCCATCTCTTTGCCCAATCCTAGTTTCATCTGGGCTACGTTTCCTTATCTGTGTTGTGGGAACATTATGAAAGACCATGCCAAATACCACCATCAAGATGCAAGACAGGTATTGTTTTGCCTTGGTCTGTCGTAAGAGGAAATGAGATTTGCTTGACTCCATTTATTCTTGACAAATCCATCTCGCCTGTTTAATCACCTGTTATCTTTTAGGCCCTTAGAAATAATTTATCTGTACTGTTTTCTCAGAAACAAAACAAAAACTGATATGTAATTCTTCAGCCCTTTCTCTTCCCAATAACTTTTTGAAGATGGACAATGTTTTAGTCTTTTCCTAGTTTTTTGTCACGTATCTGTCCTCTGATTTTTTAGTAATTGTTGATGTTTAATAATTACTGGGCCTTCTCTGTGAGCTTAGTTAATGTGTCACGTCATTTGAAAAGATCTGACTTATCCAAGTATTCTTCAGCAATGATTTATCTTATTAAAATTGAGTCCTCCCTCCTCATCCCTGCTATTAATTATGATAAATCTCTGGTAACAGTTGATTCTTTTAGAAAAAAAAATATATAAAAAAATAAACACCCAAATATTTAGGCCATTCAGGGTTTTTTTTTTTTCTGTCCAATGCTTTCCTCCTGTTCAGCAGTAGTCTGACATTTACCTTAATTCTTCTTTGATTACTGCTGTATTTCTAGAAAAGCTTTCTTTTAATGTCCTATATACTGGTTACTTTGGATGTTTATGTCTCATGTTTAGCTTATCTCCTGTCAACTACTTTTTTGATGGAAAGCAATGGCAGACTAATAATTTATGATGCTACAAGAAGTCTACTAGGAGACCACACTTCCTAGCTCTCCTTTATAGGAGAGCAGTTCATACATAGGACTTTGTATTTATCCTTAAGCAGTGGCCACATCTATAATTCTGTATTGCTGCACAAGATTTCGAGACTGTAATAACTCTGAATTTATTGAAACTCCTTTCCCAATATCTGTCAACTTCTATTTTCTTCTCTGAACCTTCTTTGCTGAAGACTGTGAATTCAATCTGGCCAATTTTACATTTTGTCTCACTTAACCTGCCTTCTGCAGAACGTTTTCAGTGAGGAAGTCCTCACGGGCTCAGATCAAATCTAGAAGGGTCTTCCCTTTCTTTAGATTTAGAAAGAGGTTTCAGAAAAAACATCACTGGGGTATTCCGAGTCCTGCCTCAGCAGTTTGGGATTCCTTTCCCAATGGATGCTTGTTGATTAAAACCCCCTCACTGCTACCAGAACTTGGATAATCTTCATGACTTAAGCATCCGTGTTTCTCATGCCTTTTATAAATACACGATGCCTTCTATAAATAACGCATATTTCTAGCACACAGATAAGCGTGCTTTTATTTCTTGCTTTCAACAGTAACCGTATTTTTCAGTGAAATGGGACTCATTTCACTGTATGTACTATATGTACTGTATGTACATATATGGTACAAGGAGAATTAAATCTAAGCTCTAAAGAAAATCTGTAGGTTAGCAATATTTCCAGAGTAGAATACCAACTCAGTTATCACATAGTTGGAGCAAACAAATATTTTTTTCCATAAATGTTTGCTCTTTGATCTAGGCTTGATATGAAAAAGTTCACTCACACAACAGAAGCTACAAAAGAACAGAATTATCTACAGGGAGAGGCAGCCTTTCTGAGGGATTCATGGGCTGGCAGTATTTCCAAAACAGTTGAATCATTTGAGTCTCTGCTGTCCAATTCATCGCACACATTGTCACGATGTCCCTTTATCTGTTTCAAACTCATGAGTCATCCTGAAAAGGTTATGAGAGATGGGAAACCTTTGCCACACTCTAGCTACCAAACAGAACCGTGATAGATAGCAAGGCTATGGGATAGCAGGGTCCTCTCTGCACTAAGCAGAAGAACTAATATCCAGCAGTGATAAAATCATGTACTATCACACCTGCAGGAGAAAAATCTGCTCAGACAAGCTTGTTTTTGTCACTGGAGTATTCAGAAAGTGCTAAACAGTCTTGCTTACATAAACTGTACAATTGCAGGAATTGTGCGTGGGTATCTCGGACATAGCAGGCAGGAATATCTAAGCCCAAAGAACCTGACTTGCCTTTCCATTATTAAAAAAAAAAAGAATAAATATGACAAGCTGTCTATTAATAGGAGAGCTAACTAATGCATGTAAATTGCTTTCCCCCAACTGTAAAAATGAAGTAAAACTTTGTTTAGCATTACAAAAATGATTGACTTGCATTGCAGGAGAAAGTAAAAGAACTAACAAACTAAGAAACTTACTGTCAAGCAGAAAAAAAAATCATTATCCTTTTTACACATGGGCAAACTCGGAAAAGTGAAGTTAGAAAGGCCTCTCACAAATTCGGAGGTAGCTATGAAACGGCCCAAACCTTCTAAAAAAGGAATCACCTAATGATGGACCAGTGCAGTTTAGACTATGGGCTGTTCTGTTGTTTTGCTAGTTGTAGTAAGTGATTAAAATTCCTTTATGCTGTTAATTGGAGTCATGGTCTGTCTAATATCTTTCATTGTGTTTCTGAGTTGGTCCTTTTAAGAACAGACAAAAACCTGTGATGACACAGGTATGTAATCACAGTTTATAAGATGCTGAATCTAGAAAGTCTAAAGACACTGCAGTTGTGAATGGAGGTGATCTGCAGTTCAGAGTTGGGCATATGGCATGAAATTTAGGACTGTGACTGATACGTCCTCCCGCTTGCCCTGCGCAGCTCTGTGCTCAGTGTTTCAGCTTCAGCTGATGTGATTCCAACTTTCCTCTTAGACTTAGTGCTCTGTATGTGCAGCAGCTAAGGCTCCGATGTCTGTCACCTCATTCACCTGGGTTGCTTCTGTCCAGGGAGGCTGTCGCAGAAAAGCATCCCTGATGATTTGTGAAGGAAAGCAGTGACCAGCACTGCCCCTGCTTGGTGGTGTCCTGGAGCAGGAACACCTATGTGCATTAGAATGAGAGAACACCTATCTGTCAGTATGGAAGAAATAAAGAACTCCTAAAACATTTTTTGAGACTTAGACACTGCCTTACACTGCAGTCAAGTTATTGTTTGAGCAACTACCTTAGACTGCTATAAGTTTGGCAATCTTTGCATTAAGCACTAATTGTCTTACTTTGTGCTATTGGGAAAAAAAAAATCTTTACCCTGGAGACATGCTTACTTCAGTGACAAAACAAGTTGCCTCATACACGTAGGAAAGCTCCCCCAGGAACCCATGGGCCAGTTTCGCCCTCGCAGAAGACGCACCGCGCTGGTGAGGGGGTGGCTGAAGCGCAGCGTGTGTGCGGCCAGCGCGGGCATAAAGCGCGCTCCCTGCTAAAGCCTTCTGCAGGCTAGGAGGCTCTCCCGGGGCAGTGTCGCCCGTTAACGGCTGGGCTGCACCAAGAGCTTCGCTACGGGCCGCGCCACGTCCAGCG